ACCTAGCTGCCTCTCCATATGTACAGTGTCATAGAGGGTGGTTGAATCCAGATCTTTTGATTCTAAGCCCAGTACTCTTTCATCTGTGCCACCCTGTCTGAGATGTGTCTGACATCCTTTTTTTTTTTTTTGGTGAGACATTTGGGGTTAAGTGACTTGCCAGGGTCACACAGCTAGTAAATGTTATGTGTCTAAGGTCGGATTTGAATTCAGGTCCTCCTGACTCCAGGGTTGGTACTCTATCTACTGAGCCCCCTAGCTGCCCCTCTGACATCCTTTTTACTGTTCCCACAACCACCACCCTAATTCAGATAAACACCTTTCTTCTGTATTGTTGTAATTGCCACCTCTTTCTCAATCTGGCCTAGATTAGTCTACTGCCAGATTAATTTTCCTATCAATCCCATTAACATCCCATCAATCTTGGTATTTCCTGATAAGAATTAGTGGTTCTTCATTGTCCAGATTGGATTGTCCACTACAAAAAGACCATATTATCTGCTTGGCATTCTTTGATTTTCCCCAGATACCATGTCAGTAAGCATTTCTTAAATTCTTACAATATATAACATAGTAATATATAATATATATAGTAATAGATGTTATATGTACATATATATACACACATGTATATATCACCATGTGTGACAAACACACACAGAAATAAAAACATGAATACCTGATATTTTTTCAAGTCAACTTTACTAAGCTATTACTATGGCATTGTGCTAACAAAGAAAGGTAAAAACGATCACTGCCTTCAAGGAACTCACATTCTAATTAGGGAGATAACTTGCAAACAGCTATGTACACATAGGATATTCAGAGGGAAAGTGTTAATAGTGGAGTTTAGTGGGACCAGGAAAAGACTCTTGTAGAAGGTGGGATTTGAGCCAAGTCTCGAAGAAAGCTAAAGCAGCAAGGTAGAGATGAGAAAGAACATTTTGGTTTACCGTGAAGAGGTATAGCATAGGGAGATAGCGCAACCCCTGTGAGGAGTAGCAAGAAGACCAGCATCTGAACTGGAGAGTAAATGGAGGGAAGTAAAATGTAAGAAGCTAGCTGGCTCACTGGATAGTGTTGGGCCTGGAGCCTGGAAGACCTGAGTTCAAATCTGGCCTCAAACACGTACTATCTGTGTGACTGTGGGCAAGTTACTTAATCCTGTTTGCCTCAGTTTCCTTATCTGTAAAATGAGTTGGAAAAGGAAATGACAAACTGCTGTAGTACCTGTGCCAGGAAAACCCCAAATGGGGTCATGAAGAATTGGACACGACTGAACATATCATTTACTGTATTTTTCCTTTACTATAGTTATTTAGCATCTTCTATTGCAGTTCCCATAATAAATACCTGTGCTCTCTCTTGGACTTTGAAAAGATGGACTAGCGTAAAGCAGAATGGACCAGACTCTAAGGAGGGCCCACACACAGTCTCCTTCTTTTTTATTTTGGTCACGGTGGTGTAACTATAAAATGAGACCAGCTTTCTTATGTGGGTCTGGAAAATGGCCTGTGAAGGTAATTTCAAAATAGAAATTCCAAAAATGTTTTGAAAATGGAAGCATCATTGGAATAAGTTTTTAGTCTTGGAAGGTAAGTTTTTGAAGGAGGAAACATATGGCCGTCTAAGTTCTGGTATGTTTATTTAAAAGAGCAATCTCATTCCTTTATAACCATATTCCATTCAGGATCACTTTTAAGGTAGAGGTAATGACATGGCTCATCTGGTTCATTTCTTTAAGAAAATGATAAATTAAGGTTGAGGTTCTGAATATTTTAGTTGAACTTGGGATCTTGAACTTAAGCTCTGGATTTATATGGACTGTTTTCAATCTTGGTACCTCACATAAATTGCTTTCTTTAATTAACATCCCCATCCAAGTTTTCCCTGAGAACATCAGAATTTGGTCCATTTTGACTTTATCTGTCAACTTGCCTGGGAACATTAGAGTATATGGCTTGTGTCTAAATCTCTAAGAAAAAGTAAAAATGCCCTCATGTAAGCCCTCTCATGTAAGAGAATACAGGAGAGGCTTTACTTTTATCTGACAGAAAGCTCAAAGCACAAGGAGCTTGTACCCAAGGTTGTAAGCATCAAGACAGCTCTCCTTCCTTCTTTAGTGAAGCCCCCTCTCTCCCCTCCTCCCAGAAATATAGTCATCCAGATTTAAAATATTTTTTTAAGATTGAAGCTGCCTCCAAAGGGGAAAGAACTGGGGTCATAAAGAATCAAATACCTTCTCACTGTACACCAGTACAGGTCCAGCCAGCTATACTCCTTAACGTTATGACTGTTTTTCATGATGCTTCTGACTCCTTTTTGGTACTTTGTAGGACTTCTTTTATCTCCTGAAGCCTTGGTCCAGGAACTTGTCTCTTGGGGAGTTCTGCCTCCAGGGAATCTGTTTGTAGTCCTTCTATTCTCTCCATATATTCTCCTTTTAAGCCCAAATCTAAGGGCATAGCACAGCTTTACACAACTCTTGATTTTAGTCATCCATTCTTCTACCAGTGAATCACCTAGCATTGGAGGCAAGGATTCATGTTCCATCTAGTTACCAAAATGTGGTGTCAGTGAGACATTTATATCCTATGTAGTCAGAGGACATCAAACACTTTCACCCTTGTCTTGGTCACACTTAGACACTAGGAAAGTAGCCTTGTAGTTAACTTGGATAATTATGTTAAGAACTCTTTCTAAACAGAGGTGGGATTAGTTTTCTGTAATTGCTAATTTACTAAGTTTTCTGTAATGTTTAACCCTATTTGACTCATTAAAACAATCCCTAAGAAATAAAATGAGTTGAAATCACTTTTAATTAGTTTGTTGCCCAGTTTTATATGAAAATAAAATAAAAAGGGATAAATAAAAATAAACTAAAGGAATTTAAGGTATCCTAGACTCAGTTTTATATTTTATTCAACTTTAAATCAATTTTATATGCTTATTAAAGTTACATAAAACTGAGAGGAATTATTGAGCTGTTGGATGACAACTGAAACCAAGAAGGTAAAATCACATAGGGTGAAATGTAAAATCTATTGTTTAGATTAAAAAATCAACTGCATGGGTATGAATTGGCATAGTTCAATAGTTCACATAAAAAAGATCCAGATTTTCGACTTAAAATTTAATATGTATCACATTGCACAAAGAAGTGACAAAAGTCTTTAGTGAAAAAGAAGTATACTCTGCAGTGCTGGATAAACTATATCTGAACTATTCTATTAAGTTCTGAGTGCTACAGAAAAAATGACCTGTGGTTTAAAAGAAAATACCAGAGGCAAAGGACCCAGGTTTCAGTCTCAGCTCTGCCACTTACTGCCCGTAGGAGCTTGAATAAATCACTTAACCTCTTTAGGCCTCTATTTTCTCATTTGTCAGAGGAAGATTTGGACTAGGTGATCGCTAATTTCTCTTCCAGCTCTAAATTTATGATCCTATTACCCTAATTTTGATCTTATGTAAAATACATTTTTGCACATTGAATTATAAATTAGCACCTCATAGGTCCACCTTCTGTCATCCGGAATGTGGCTTCTAAGCCAGGAAGTGCCCCCCCCCAAAGGCTCCTTGGTAGTAAACATAGATGTTAGAGAATTCATTCTCGAAAGATCTTGCACTTTACTCAAAGGAAGATCCCTCATGGCCTCATTTGTTTTTACTGTTGATACAGAGTTATAACTAACTAGCTTCGCTGTCTAATTTTTCAGAGCTTATAAAGCAAAATAGTGAGTTGAAGAGAGGAGAGCTCACTGCCAGCAAGTAAGAGTAACCTCTTCTGGGGAGGGGCTATTTTCTTTGTCTTTATGCCCTCCAGCATCTGGCACAATACTTTTCACTTGCAGGTACTTAATAAATATTTGTTAAATTGAATTGAATTGAACAAGTACCAGTGATCCCTGAGAGACTTAGTAATGAGGGATGATTCAGAAACATTTTAAAAAGCAGACAAATGAACTGGAAAAGAAGCCTCCTTAAACATCTCATTTCCCATCTGAACGCTGTCATTTTGGACTTCTGGCTGCCCTAATTTTGGATTTCTTTGATTCCTCCACCACAGCCGTGATCTGGGAACTTTTCCCCACGTCTCCCCTCCCCTGCCTCTCTTCCCCATTCAGATTTCTTGGGTGTGTTATCTTCTTCCATTAGTTTATAAACTCCATCAGGCCCAGGACTATCTTTTTCTGAATTTTTATCCTGAGTACATAGCACATTACTTGGCATATAGTAAATTTAATAAATATTTATTGACTGACTGACTGACTGACTGGCTTTTTGTGACTGTTTAGTGTAGAACAGGCAGCCTTACACACTTAAGGTACCCCTTGATGATTTCACTGTATAATGTCAGTATAGAATCTTGGAAGGAACCTTAAAAATATTAAGTTCATTCTGCTCATATTATGGATGAAGAAGAGGAAACTGAGGCTAAGTGAGATTAAGTGATTTAATAAATCACACAGCTGGCTACAAGCAGAATACTTCATCATAATAGGCCTATTTCATCAAAGAAAGGTTAAATTGTGCCAATTCAGCATTTATTAGGTATTTGCTGCTGATAGTCTCTGGGGACACAAAATGTGAAAAAAACATACGCTTTGCCCTTTAAGGAGCTTATAGAAGTTTAGAATTTATTAGTATGTTTATGGAGGCAGGAAAATGTAGAAAAAGTTAAGATTTCTATAAGAAGAGTTAAAGATTAAAAAAAAAATTGAAGGCTAAAAAAGGAAAGTTTCATCATCTGGAAGAAAATTGCTTGTGTAGAGTGCTTTATTCCCCTATGATGCCAGATAAATGTAGGATTACTGCATTTTTATGTATTTTCAAAGTTTTTTCTGAATAGAGCAAATAAAAACAATAAAAGATTTTTTTTGTGGTCAGGGATTAGCTCTTGTCTGCCAGGGCAAAGAGTAATTGAATTTTTTTCAGTCCAGCAGTTGACATGCTTAGTTTTCCAACCTTTCAACATGTGTTTATTGCCTTTTTTATTCCAGGGCATAGTTCCAGTTTAAGGTGAAACCATGAAGAGAAAGTAGAACAAAAAATAATGCTTTTCCGAAATCGTTTTTTGTTGCTGCTGGTCTTGGCTGCTTTACTAGCCTTTTTGAGCATCAGTCTACAATTCTGTAAGTATGTCATTCTGCCTGCTCCACCCCCACCCCCCATTTTATTTTGCCTCTTTATGGCAGAGTATCCTAGTATAGAAGAAATGATTAAGGTATTCATTGTTTATTCCTTTAGTGAATAGTGAGGTGTGGGAAATCTGAGCTCTTTGTTGTATTTATAATGTAACAATGGAAAGTAAGTGAAAGTGTATTTTCTAGTTTGTTTCATTTGTATTTGCATATTGTTCATCCTTCCCTGCTCCCTCCTCATTCTTTTTGGCTAATTGTGACTTCTTTACTCTTCGTTCACCGGCCTGTTAGGAATTTTCTCTGATTGACCCTCATCCCTTTTCCATTTTATCTGTTTCTGCATCTGTGACTCTCTTTTGATTGCTGATAAAACATTATACACTTAGTCATGAATCTTACTGTTATTTGTCCCTCAATAATTCAAACTTGGAATTGCACATATAGATGAGGAACTTTTAAATGAGAGGCATTATCCTTATAATCAGTCTAAAGAAGGATTCATTGGAGTGAAATTACCGCAGCATTATGGGAAAGAGCACAGTGGGATTGTGAAGGGTGGGGCATAGTCTGGGAATATGGTGTAGTTTGGGAGAAGTCACAGTTTAGAATGAAATGACTTAGGTGAGCAAGTTTTTAGCAAGTTTCTTTGTTTAACCTCCAGGCTTATAATAGATGCTTAAGATGTTATTGTTGAATTATTGTTGAATAATTATTGAAATTATTATTTTATCTTTTATTTATTTATTTTTTGGTTAGGCAGTGGGGTTAAGTGACTTTCCCAGGGTCACATAGCCAGGAAGTGTTATGAAGCTGGATTTGAACGCAGGTCCTCCTGAATCCAGAGCCGGTGCTCTATCCTCCTAGCTGGCACCTATTTTATCTTTTTAAAATAAGGAAAAGTAATGGATCTGTGGTTGGTTAATGAATTTAAAAGTGTAATACTTTAAAATGTTTGGGATGACTCAGTAGTTTGTTTATAACTTTTCATTCAGAAATTTTCCAGTCTTTGCTTGGAGAAGTGAACTCTTATTTAGAGTCAACTCCAGTTTTTATTTTGAAAAGTTGACAGGTACTAAAGGGTAGAAGCTAGAATAAGGGTTCATTCTATCTGCTTCATTTCTGTTTCATGAGTTGGTTTCCACGTCATTGAATTGGCTTTGCTTGGTTTGCTTATATAACTCCACTGAAAGTACCTTCTGTTTTAGGACAGTCAATTTTAAGGCATACTTTTATAGGCACATTTTGCAGGGTGAATTATCCTGTGTACAAGGACTTTATTTCTTGGATATACTGGTGATACAGAAGCATCAGAAATTAAGACATGGATATTTTTACTTCATTTCTGCTCCTAGGTAAACTTTCATGGAAACTATTGTTTTTGCATTTCTTCCATTATGTTGGAAATTAGGTTTATCTATTTAGGTAATATTGAGGGCTATGGTATAAGAAACTAAATGGTGAAAGTTCAATTAAGTATGTTCTTTATATGACCTAAATTCTTTAGGCTTGCTACTTCTTAAATGAATTTCACATCACTACTTTCTTTGACTAATTTGTATATAGTGAATTAACAACATAAATTTTTTAAGTTGTATAATCAAATATAACATCATAGGATAATGTCTTATGAAGTAGTATGTTACGATGTTATATTTGTTTGTTCTTGTGTTTTGAAACGATGTTATTTACTATGTTAGTGGTTCTCTTTTTCTGATGTTTTAAACAGAAGTAAGTCACGATGCTGTTTAAAATAAAAAAAGTTTTCTTTTCAGTAGTATTTTTCTTTTAATAAAGACATTGTTGAAATCCATTAGTGAACAAACATTTTAATCATGTATAATATATTTGGTGTGTAGAGGTACAAAGAGTTATAAGATATACTCCATTTTTTGCAAGGTAAACTTTAAAAACTTCCTCTATGATACTGTGGAAATTAGACTTATTTACATACAAACTACTAAGTATTATGGTGTGAGAAAGTAGATGTTGAAAGTTTGATTAAGTGGGTTTTCTGTACGAACTGGTCTGTAAGTGTGTTATTTAAAATAAATGGATTTTGCCCCATTTTTGGACTAATTTTCTGAATATGGAAGTAACAAAAATATTTTTATAGCTTTAAATGATTTTATATTTTAATGTTTTGAATTATGAAATTGCTGGTATTTCTGCTTTTGGTTTTCATTATTTAATACCACTTAATATCTGAAGTCTTCCCTGAGCCCTTTGGGATCAGTGTCTTTCCTAAGATGTCATAAAGGACTTTTTTTTAAAAACCTTTTTTATACAGTTATCATCCAGTTTTGCATATTATAGTTGTCTGTTTTTATAGGTTAGCTCCTTCCTAGACTGTATGCTATATGAGAGCTGGGATGTTATAAAAGCTTTTAATTTTCTCCAGTGCCTAACATACTACTGCTAAATAAGTTCTTAATAGAAGTGTTGAATTCAAAAATTTCTGATTTTAGAGTGAAAAATTAAGGATATATAAAAAAGTATATGCCTTTTGTTATTAGGAGAACATTTCATACTTAATTGGCTATTGCTTGAAAATGTAATTGCTTAAATTGAATTGAGCATTTGAAAATAAAGTTGTGCATGTGGCAAAGACCTTGGAGACTTAATGGATTCATCATGAATCATTGCTTTATTTTTGTTTCTGCTTTTCACTTGTAGGTGATTACCAGTTTCATGACTTAATCTTTTATTTTTGTGTTTAGTCTTATTGTGTTTCAAACATAGATAAGGAAGACAGTCAGTTTTCTTAGCATTAATCATATGTGAGTATGTGGATTACTGTTTAAATAAACCTAGATTGAACATCAATAACCTTAAGTGCCTATTGTGTGCAAGGCACTGTTATAATCAAGTTTATTTTAACTTTTACCTAAAAGAAAGTTAAATAGGTTTATTGAGGGCTATAGGATCCTCTTAAGAAAATTCCTGACCTCAGTTGCATAGACTTTTTGTTTCAGTAAATATCTTTCATGCTTGGTTCTGACTTGTGGTTACATTTTTAATTTTCATCCAGTACAGTAGCCTAATTTTTTTTTTATTAAGACTTGTAGAGTGATGCCATATATAGTTAATATTTTCTAATTATTTTGAAAGAATTGGCCTTCACAGAGTCTGTTCTATGTAAGACACCTTAGTACAAATAGGAATAAGACTCAAAAATGGTTTTAAAACCACTGTCACCAGTAGGAATTTTTATTATAGCATTGTATAAAATCTGTTTTGTAACTAATGATCTCTTAGTAGCCAAATCCAAGGGTCCTTTCTCAATCCTCGTTCTGCTTGACCTCTCTGCAGCCTTTGATACTGTTGATTATTTTTTCCTCCTTGATATTCTCTTCTCTCTAGATTTTTGGGATACCACTCTCTCTTGGTTTGCTTCCTACCTGTATGATACCTCCTTCTCTGTCTCCTTTGCTGAATTCTCTTTCTGATTATGCCTTCTAACCATAGGTGTCCTATGGCTTTTAATTTATTATTATCATTATTTTAGCAATTTTTTTTTGATGAGGCAGTTAGGGTTAAGTGACTTGCTCAAGGTCACACAGCTAGTAAGTGTTATGTGTCTGAGGCAAGATTTGAACTCAGGTCCTCCTGACTCCAGGGCTGGTGCTCTATCTACTTCGACACCTAGCTGCCCCTTATTATCATTATTTTAAAATTTTTATTTTTTATTCTGAATTTAACAGACACCAAAAAAAGAGGACATTAAAAGAATAGAAAAAGAGGATTATACGTGAAACCATGAATCTCTCTCTCTTATGTAAAGCTTTCTTAAAAAAACACTATCAGGGAGGTAGACACATGCCTATTATAATCCCTGCCATAGAGTGGGGCTGAAGCTGTGGATTGCTTGAGCTTAGAAATTCTGAATTTACTTGAGTGTCCTACCGTCCAGGGTTGTGATGAGTAAATGAGATAACATTTGTAAAGTGCTATTATATAAATGCTAGCTGTTATTATTATTATTATTATTATTATTATTATTATTATTATTGTTAGCAATTTAGCAGTGGATCTAGAGCATACTTTTTTTAGGGCAGCCCTGAGAGAAATCCCCTTCTGACAAATAGTGTTGTTAGTTGCCTTTATTGATACCTTAGTTACTTTGGATTATCTTCAGTATTCTTTTGATTTGGGGCTTCTTTGATGCTTAAGTGGATCAATTGATCCACCACTTTTACTCCCAGACCGTTTCACTTCCTCGTGTTCTCATCTTGTGTTACTCTTCTGTCTCTTTCTGTAAATCCCCTAGAAATGATCCCTTCAGCATGCTAGAAGCCTCAGTCGTATTGACTTTGGACATTTCCTTTAATTTTAATATTGAGGAAGATACTGAAACAAATGATCCTGTTATCTTTTAGTTCAGACTTACAGACTGAAGCATAATCCAGTACCTATTTATTTTGTTGGACATGAGTAGTGAAGAATTGGTCTTTAAAAAAAAAAAAAATTCATCTTGAATGGAAAATATCACCTAGAAGAGTACAAGGTACCTGAAAGCAAATACAGTGATTCGTTAAAGAGCAAATTGTGTTGAACAATCTAATATCCTTCTGTGATAAAGTAATAGGAAGTACTGATATGAAGAAGCTGTAGATAGTCTATTTTGTTTAAATCTATCTGGATTAAAGTGAGGCTTTATTTTTATGCTCCATATTATGTTCTTATTAGCAGATAAGTAAATTGTGATATAGTTCTGTGGTTTTTAAACACTCTGCACTTGTATTCTGTGGAGTAGAATTAATAATCTTGAGAATCTAGCCTAAAAGTTAAAAAATGATGGCTAGAGGAGATCATGTTCACATCCTGTTGTTAAACCCACCCTATTTCAGCAATGTCTAGGTGGTTAATTTTTGCAGCTCAGAATCAGTAGTACTCTCAGATATATTAGTTCTGTGACCAGTATTGTTTAATAATAAATGGTTAAAAACAAAACAGCAACCTAAAAAAACAGACCAAACCAAAAGCTCCCCAAACCTCCCAAACCTTTGCTATCAGCATATCAATGAAATGTAAACTTCCTTTGAAAAAATTTTGAAAAAAGATTTCCAATGAAAAAATTGACACTGAAGTGGCTTCATTGAATTAAAGGCACCGTAATTCAGAAAACAATTAAAATATGAAATTCAGAATTACATTGTACAATTATACTTCATGTAATGACTTAATTACATTGAAAACTTTTTTTTAGTCCACCTAACGCCAGTAACACCAGTCAAAAATGGAATGAATGGTAAAAATCGCAAGAGAATAATGCCTGATCCATTGACTGAACCTCCTGTGGTGGATCCTATTCATGAAGCTCGTATTTACTGCAATATCCCAAGCATTACTGAACATAGTGCAGAAGGTAGGTTTTGCACTATCGTGTAACAAATTCAGTAGCTTTAACAAAGTACTTTTTTTCTTAGAGCTATTTTGAAGAGTCACAAGGTTAAAATTCTTGGATTTTCGAGGGTCAGGGAGGAATGATAGTAGGAATAAGTACTCAGCCTTCCAGTTTGTTTATCTACAGTTCAAAATCTTTTTAAAAATAGGAATATGCCCCAATCCTTTTCATGAAAATCAGTGGTTTATGTTGATAGGTGGAGTTTTGCTTTGTAGATACCTTTGAAGGAACACTTTTTTGTATTGAAGTATTTCTGTAAAAGCTAGTATATCTTAACACTGTTCCCAAAACTAATGTTTAAATTATATATTTCTTATATGTAGGTCACGCACCTTATTATTTCAAGCTAGTATCGGTTCATGTGTTAATTCGTCATGGAGATAGATACCCACTTTATGCCATTCCTAAAACAAAGAGACCAGAAATTGACTGTACCTTGGTTGCCCACAGGTAAGCTACATTTTAAAAAATCTTTTCCATAATTATAATCATTTTTGAAAGTAACATGTTTCATTTGTTTTATATCACCACCTGTTGCTGTACTTTGTTTATACTTTTTAAATTTTTCGGAACTATAGAGGTAACATATTCTTCAGGATCCTTTTTTAAAAAAACATGAATGATAATTTTGGTTTGTTTTTAAAAAATAAAATTAGATTATAAGTTCCTTGAGGGCAGAGCTTCATCTTATTTTTTGTATCTTTTGGATGGCAACATGGTACAGTGGAAAGACATATTGATTATGGAGTCTGGAGGCCTGTGTTCAAATTTCGCCTCTGAAGTTTACTACCTATGTAACTTTGGCAATCATTTTGTCTCCCTGGGCCTCAGTTTTATCATCTGTAAAATGAGGTTCTAGCTCTAGGTCCATGATCTTGTGATGCCCAACTAACATGATATCTTACATTTTCAGTAAATATTTGAATGAATAAATGGAGAAATAAATGGAGAAAATATTAAGAATAGAAAGTGGAAAATACAAATATGGAAATTTTAGGATCTTAAAATTATAATGATAGTTAACTACAAGAAAAAGTATAAGCTGCCAAGAATGTATTTAGAGATGTATAGTTTCCACAATATGTAGTGTGGTCATGTGGCTAGGGCTGGTCATGGTGAAGTGAAGACTTTGGTACAAGTTCTGCTTCTGACACATACTAAGCAGTCTGACTGTGACTAATCACTTAACTCCTCAGAGCCCCCCAACACTATAAATTGCAGAGCAAGTATCATTGGTGGAGATAATTTCCTTACCAAAAGTTGCCTTAAACTAATGAGACAATAGATCTGATTTTAAAAAGTCCTAACAGTGGTATTTTTTTAACTTTCATTTATATGGTAGAAATATACTTAGAAATTACCTAATCAAAACAACAGGAGAAAGGATTGTACTTCATCTGGGTCCATATAGGGTAACAGAGTTGAGCTGCTATCAGATTTAGTTCCTTTGGTCATCCACACCTGTTTGTGCAATCTTTGGCCCAAATTAGAATTTTTACCTCTCTCTAATGATGTGACTTGAAATTTCATATAATCACCAACTTGTGTTGATCTCTAATCTGTCTGTACAGTTAGGACTGGCTGTTTCAAATCAATTCATTTTCCACATCCAAAATACTGTGGTATAGGACTTTGGCTTTTTGTTATAGTGAGATTTTTCTCCTTCCACTTATCGTGTCCCTATAGGACAATATTATATTAACTGTTAAAATATCTGAACAAGATTATCAGTTCCTTAATGGTTGGGACCTTTACTCATATGTTTATTTTGTATCCCACAAAGTGCTCAACACTAGGCTAGATATTTAGTAGATACTTATTGAATTGAACCAGATTACCTCTTGAGACTTGAATAGAAGGATATTAATTGATTTTAAGTCTTTATAGAAAAATGTTTTTTAAATTAATAGAATGCTGTTTTTCCAGTTAGATACTTTTTACTCTTGAATAATCATTCCATAAATTTACATGCATCAGCGTTGTTACTTAATTTAAATTCCAGTGTAAACTATTTGAATTTATTTTCTGATAAGAAGGCTACTATTTTTTCCTTAGTATTCTAGTGAAGAACTCATTAATTATACAGTTTATGCTGCAGTATTGTTGACTTTCTAATGGGTATGCAAAATGGCTTTGAGGTCTTATATTGAGCTTTATGCATTAACATTTGTGATATAAATAGATACTCAGAGTGAACTAAGAAAATGAGGCCAATTCTTTGAAGTCTGTAAGAATTTAACATTTTTATTACTTTCAGTATTCAACATGCATAAAGATTTCTGATGAGGCCAGGGTCAGGTATATTTTTTGAAGAATTTATTTCATGGATTTGATTAATAAACACCAAAACTCATAATAATTTTAATGTTTAAACAAAAAGTGTTATGCCTGACGTTTAGTTTTATTAACTATTGTCCAAGAAAAGGACAATTATACAGTTAAATTAGGGTAAAATGAATTTTTATTTGTCCCTGTCTCTATCAGATCCACTAACATCATTATAACATTAAAATTTGTATGAGAAAGAAGCATCTTCTGATAAATAAATACTTGATTAATTGCTTCCTCCACTGAAGTTCTAATTTGATATCTTATCAAAGGGTAGATGTGACCTTGACTTCTTGTAGGTTATGGTAGCAGCAGCTCTGGTAGGTTCAATACCAAGCTGAAAAGTCTTTAATTATGGGTCTGGTGAAAGACTGTATGTCTTTGGTGGTTTTTTTTTTGTCTTTGGTTTGGGGACTAACTCAGTTAAATTCAGAGAGGTTTATCACCAGGTTACCCACAGGTTGATGGGTTGTTGTTTTTTTTTTTCTGTCTCAGCAACTCTTAAAGATCATGTAGAGGAGTCAGGATCTGTGTAAGTGAAAGAAGTACCCACACTAGTGAGATCATAGATCTTTGAAATATTGAAGTAATAATTCCATAAGTGAAAATTTCTGAATATGGATTTCTTTTATGTGGAGATAATATTTAAGATCCACAAACCACCTCTTACAGAAAAAAAACCTAATAGGTAATTAAATTATTTTTAACATGAAAAAGTATTTATGAATAATTATACAGTGAAAACCTGGAGATTTTAGGAAACTATTTCCTGTAACTGTCTTTAGTCATGTAACTTAAATTTAATTTCCAGGTTATGTCCACAAAGCTTTTGCTTAGATTCTTAATCAGAATCCAAAGATACTGAGAGAAGCATTTTATATGTCTTGAGGGGTAACCTATAGTTTATGAAGATAAGTATTAAAAGCTTTGTTTTCATTTTATGAAAATGTTCTAAGATTGCAAACATTTATATGTATTTTTAGGAAAATTTGTATTTTCTGCTCTAGTGAAAAACATAATGTACCCTGTAGTATTTAGGATAACATCATCATTTATATTAGAGTCTTCCAGGTTTAGCTCATTATAATTTTAAGATGTGCCTTTACAAAGTGAAATTTTGAGGTTTGTGTTTTTTTTGTCAGGTTACTGAAATCATAGTATATTTAGAACCATGATTGCATCCATTTGAGATGTCACCGTTGATGGAGCTCAGGTGGTGAGAGTTTGCTGTAGAGCAGTTTGATCTTGGCTTTTTTCTTTGCTGTTTCTTGTTTTTAATCTAGCAGTTAACTTCCCTCTTTCTGTAACTAAGTAAACATCAGTATTTTAGTAGTTAGTTGGAGAGTGTGCATAAATTCTTATTTCATTAATCAGGGGAAATTACTTATTACTAGATATTTTACTTTTAAACCTAATTTTATATTAATATACTGCAAAGATTAACATTTAAAGTTTTACACTGGTTCTTTTTCTTGGCCAGCCAGTGGTTTGACTCAAGGTGCGTTTAAATGTGATATAAACATGCTGAAATGCTTTAGCTTTAGTCATGGAAGTGAAATGCTTGTCTTATGCTTCTATTCACTACAAGGTTAATTCTGTAAAAATACTGCTTTCATTATCCATACACCTGCTGAAAAACCTCCAGTGACTCAGTCTAAGCTCTCTGACATGGCATTCATTGCCCCCTACAATTTGTCCACAGTGTTTTAACTTTATTTTCCTCTGCTCCCCAGTTAAATCCTGTACTGTCTCCTGAATATGACTAGCAGATTCCTACCTTTCAGGCTTTGCTTGTGGCATTCCTGTTGTCTAGAATAACTTCCCCATACTTCCCATCTATCTAAATCCTATTCATCTTGCACCGCATTGCTCAAATCTCATTCATCCATGAAGCTTTTCCAGACCACTTCAGCTTGAAGTCCTTTCTTATTCTTTTGAAATCCTATAGCAGTTTTTGTCTGTATAACTCAATTGATGCAAGGAAACAAATGATCTTGTGCGTATATATTTTACTTTCCTAACTCGATTGTAAATTTCTTTTATAGCCCTACATGATAGGCATTTAGTTGTTTGTTGTTTGTTTCATATCAAGCTGAGTTAAATATTATCATTCTATAAAGTAACTGTAAAGTTGAATTTTCAACTTTACATAAGGGCAAGACACATGAAACAATTAGAAAGTAAGTGTGTATAATAAAGCGCTAAATTATACAGTAAAACAAATATGTGTAATAGAAGTTAAAGGAAAAGATGAGTGTAGTCTGAACTTTCCAAGAAAAGCTTTAAATTAGAAGGTGAAGGACTCAAGCTGGGACTCGAAGAATGACAGTCATTTTTTTGATCAGTGTAAATGGTCAAATAATAATTAAATTTTAATATTAAAAATCTGGTGATCAGTACATCAGTTCATGATCTTATATGACAGCATGTCACACTCAAGTTTCTTCTCTGAGAAATGGTTAGGATTATAACCCTTTATCCTTGGAGCCAGTTTTACCTCTTATTCTTTAAATATGGTCGATGGGTGAGAGGGAATAGTCAGCATTAAAGCCTCAGGAGCCTACTAGACCCAAAAAGCATTTGCTTATTGGCTAGCTAGCTAGCCCCACAGAAGTTGAATTAGAAAACCCTGGGTGGATCTAGGGAGGAGGCCTGGAATCTACAAGAGGAGATAACTCAGGAGCATACAGATAATTGGGAGCTGCCTGCCCTTGAATGCATTTGAAGATCTGAAGCTCATTGTCTTAAGTGTGGATTAAAAATGTTTATGAAGAGAGACCATAGGTATGAAAAAGCATCTAGCTTTGAACAGTATGATTTCTTACAATAAACCATTCAATTTTTATCAGTTTATGGTTTTGCTTTTATATTATCATATAAAGCAATTGTTGGACTAGAATGTATTTTGGTTTGTCCTTTTTAGGAAACCAAACCATCCTAAACTTGAAGCTTTCATCAATCACATGTCAAAAGCATCTGAAGTCTTAATGGAAGGCACTCTCAGTACCCTGCCTCTTTATCCTAGTCATTCACTGTGTGAAATGGGAGAACTCACACAGACAGGCAAGTTTTCTCTTTGTTCTTTTGAATTTCCGAAGAACAGATTTTCCCTTAGAGGTTGTTTTCTATGGTTGGAAATACTTCCTGGTTATGTCTTTACATGATTATTTTAAAAGTTATTTTATTTTGAAATCCATTGCCTTGCATGTAACTTCAATCTTCAAAAAGTTTATTTGGGGCCATTATGACCAAATGAGATAATATATGTAAAACACTTTGAAAATCATAAAACTTCATATAAATGTTAGTTATTACTATGAGTTATCAACAGCTTTTGCTGCATCAGTTCTAGTGGTAACTTCCTGGCATTCACTGGGAAGAAATTTGACTTGAAAAGATTGACCCTATCCTCTACCACATCACTAGGACAAGTGAGGCAATACTTAATCTTACTTCAGTACTTCAAGGATCTGTTGTAGTTGTTGTGGGTACTCTCCCCATGTATTAGTAGATAGTCTTCTAGAGTTAACTGTTTCCATGCAAATGATGAGCCTCTCCAAATTTATCTAGACTGGTCCTCAAACAACAGATACACAGTCACTAAATTCTTAAACTAAACTTTTCCAGCTTGGTGTGGGACCTGTCATATTTGGTGGGGTTTTTTGGGCATAACTTTTGAGAACCCAGTGTCACTTCTTTAACAGAATACTTTAGAGTAGCAGTTAGTCTCTAAACAAAAGAATTGTCATATTACATTCAAACCAGTAGCCCATCCAACTTGTCCTTGGTTGGCTTCTGAGAAGTATCATCAAAGTTGATGATCTAAGAGAGCACAATTTTCTTCTTGAACCCAGTCTCAGTTTCAGATGTTCCCTGTACATTTATTTCCAAGTCCCCTTAATTAATTGTGGATCAAAGAATTTATCAAAAACTTATTTATATAAACTTTGATCTCATTTATATTTTAAATCTGCCATACTTCTTGAGGTTCAATTCAATAACATTTATTAAGTGTCTTTTATGTACAATACACTACATTAGTCTCTGGGGGATAATAAGACAGAATAGAAAACAGGTCCTCTCCTCCATTTGATGTTCCACTCTGCTGCAGATAACAGGTTCCTTAAGTTTATGTTTCACTGTAAAACAGGACTTTCTTTTTTGATCAAAAAAATACTGTTGAGCTCTTTCAAGCATCAAGGAGAGACTCACCTGTTCTAATATTTTAAGATTTGATTACATTTGATTCAGCAAACATTTGTTAAGTGCCTATTGTATGTGGAACACTATGCAATTCACTTGGAAAGAGATGAAATTTAGATAAGACAGGATTCCTTCTCTCATATGGAGCTTAGTCTAGTTGGAGCTATTGCATATACAAAAATAACTAAATCATAAGAAGTTCTAAGGAAGATACAACCTGTGATAAATAAGTCATTTTTGATGTATTTATGCCCTTCTTGAGTTCATGAACTTTAATCATATCCCCTCCTTGTAGAGTGAAGAGTTATGAATTTTTTTTAGTTTATCTTCTAAGAGTTCTCCCACATAGTTTAGTAATTTGCTTTCTCTTCTCTGGCTTTATTACATCTCTTTTTGAGATTTGTATTCTGCATAAAGGTTTTATGCAGAGGTGACAAGTGTTTTCCCCTTTGTTTTTCCCCCATTCTAAGGATGCCTAGCATTTGTTTGTCTTTTTTTGGCTGTAGTCACCAGCACATTTTATACTTCTTCTTTAGTATATCAGTAGTATATACCCTTGACCTCTTCTTTTGATTGTACCTGATAGGTTAGAGCCACTGATTATATAGTTTGGATTATCTTTTCTTAAATATATTACTTTGTACATGCCTACATTAAAATTCATCTCTTGGTTTTCTGCCTAGCCATGCAGCTTTATGAAATCTGTGTGCAGTTTTTCATCATCAGTTCCACATTTCACTACTTGGAATTGCTTAGTGGGTTCTACCAATTTTGAAATTTTACTGTACCCTACCTTTTGAATACTAAGATGAAAAGGTCTTTAAAAGTTTAAATTGTTTCTCTTGAGACAGTAGTTCCCACCAGCTCAGGAATGGAAAGGTCAAATGAGACCAAAAAAGGGAGATTAATGAATGAGAGAATAGTAGCAGATGGGTAGATTTTTAAAATTTATTTACATTGGATTAAAAGACTATATTGAGCAAATTGAAATTCCAATCTCCCCTACAAATTGAAGAATACTTGCTGATAGAGAAGAAAAAAATCATCCCTCTGGACTTTCCAGTTATAGACTTGGTAGCCAGTTGCCTATATATGGTAGCTGATTTTCATCTTCTTGGGTGATTCCCAGAGTAATATAGAAGACAGCCAGGGACTGTTCCCCAGGGAATTTGGGGGAATTGAATAGAAGTTATGCTGTCTAGGAAAAGCAGGTGTGGAACAAGCATTATCACATCACTCCCATAAGTGGAGGACAGAGTTCTCTCTGCCATCTCTGACATATAAATTTGCATGCAATTTTCCTTCATGAATTGATGATGGTTGTACAGCTTGTAGAGCTGAGTTGGGTTCAGATATTTATATTTTACATTCATTTTAAAAATCATAGAATTTAAGATTAATTAAACTTTTATGTACTTGTCCCTCATAGTATTCTCTTTTTTTTATGTTCTCTCTTTTGTATAGTTTCCTTCAACTCTTATATTCAGGAAAACTTTTGTTGTCATTTTTCTTAGGTGTTGTTCAGCATTTGAAGAATGGACAGCTATTACGAGACATTTATTTAAAGAAACACAAACTCCTTCCAAAAGATTGGACTACAAAGCATCTTTACTTAGAAACAACTGGAAAAAGTCGAACTCTGCAGAGTGGACTGGCCTTGCTCTATAGTCTTCTCCCAGATTTTGATTGGAAGAAAATTAACTTTAGGCACCAGTGGAGCACTATCTTCTGCTCTGGAAGTTGTGATTGCCCAATGAGAAATCAGTATCTAGAAAAGGAACAACGTCGTCAGTACCTCTTGCGTGTTAAAAACAGTCAGTTAGAGAACACTTATGTGGAAATGGCAAAAATAGTGGGGATTCCCACGAGGCAGCTAAGAGCTGCTAACCCCATAGATTCTCTGTTATGCCACTTTTGCCACAATGTCAGTTTCCCCTGTACCAAAAATGGCTGTATTGACTTAGAGCATTTTAAAGTTATCAAGACACATCAGATAGAGGATGAGAGAGAGAGACGTGAAAGGAAACTTTATTTCAAGTATGCACTACTGGCCTCTCATCCTGTACTTAACCAGACAGTCAACCGGATGCTGCGTATTGCAGAAGGCAAGAAGGAAGAGATTTTTGTTCTTTATTCTGCTCATGATGTCACTTTGTCACCAGTTCTTAGTGCCTTGGGTATTACTGAAGCCAGGTTTCCAAGATTTGCGGCCAGATTGGTCTTTGAACTGTGGCAAGATGGAGAAAGACCTACTGATCATTTTATCCGTATTCTTTATAATGGAGTTGATGTCACATTCCACACCTCTTTTTGCCAGGAACACCACAAGCATTCCAGCAAGCCAATGTGCCCTCTTGAAGATTTTGTTCACTTTGTCAAAAGGGACATGTTTTCAGTCTTAAATAGTAGTAGTTATTATGATGCATGTCACAGAAAAACATTTTAAAAGAAAATCATTCTGTATTTTATGAAATTTGTGCTGGTATAGAAGATGACCAGTTTGGGTTCTTTCTGATTCAAAAGGTATGACAGTATTGCTTTAAAAATACTTAGAAATCTCAGTTTGGGACCATATAGGTAGATTGACTTGAATAGCAAATAATTTGCCATGATTTGGTTCAAAATCTAGTTCATTAATTTGGTACATTTGTACTTCGTTGAGAAACAGATACTGTGCTGTAAGTTGATGTTGCTTGGAATAAGTGATTTTCCTTGTTATGCCAGAGTAGATAAGTCTAGGTTGCCAATTCAGAATTTTATTCTCTTGACTGCCATGGTACTATAATATGTAACCAACAAACCTCATCCATAATATTTCTTAATCTTGTGCGGATACAAGCACTCCTTAAATGGAAGTATTCCTAAATTGGATATCCAACAGCTCTCCACTGTGATTGTACTTGCAGAAGTAACTTGAATACCAAGAACTTTATGTTGGTTCTTCCAGTTCTTTTACTAGCAAGATACATCTTGGCATAACTATCTGATTACAACACAATATGAGGAAAATGATTGTTAAATCAGGATGAACCTAATAGTGAAATTATTAAGGTACTTTATGTTCAGGATGATAAAAAATACTGTGGTATAAGATCATTGTGTTTTAAATATTTGTCTGCTGTAGCTGGATATGCTGAAACTTTGATATGCAATTTAGTATTTTTATAGTCTAGAAAAATATTTTCTGAGACTTCTGTTAGAAATGATGTAGTACTAATCTCAATTTTCTGTATTTTCTTGATAGTGAGAGATTTATGAAAAGCCAATTTCGGATATCTTCAATGAACATGTTACCAAAAAATAGCATTAATGGGTAATTGTCTTTGAGCAACTGTGGAACTGAATACATTTTTAAACCACTTTTGTCAGTTAGAAATAGTAAAGTCTGATTTGATTTTTAAGAGATATTTAGGGTAAAACTTCATTACCAGAATATTAAATCAATCTTTATAGTGATAGATTTTTTTATACTTTTAGAAAAGATTCTAATTTAATCTCTGATATTTTAATTAATGGTGCTAGTTAAATCAGAGGAAATGTAATCTATGAGTGAGATTCTCTAATATTATTGGCATTCCAGACTCTTCTTTTTATTTTTTGCTCAGTGCTGCATTTGAATACACTTGTTTCTGTCAATAAAATTTTGAGAAATATTTGTATATTCTGTGGTTCACATTATGTATGCTGAGTGAATTAGATGTTTTTAAGATTTATCTTGAATGCTTCTTCTGTTCTTGCATAAAAGCTTAAGTGTTAACACTTGCTGGCATTTTAATGCTGATTAGATTCTTTACAACCACTCAAGATATATCTGAATAAGAACTTCTAAATGTGGCACAACTATTTAAGAATAAAGATGTAATCCAAAAGACTTTTTAAAAAAATCGAATTACAACTATATAGGATAGACAAGATACTTTGGATAATAACCAGCATCTAAGTATGGCAATGGATGTTGCCTCCCCAGACTTCGTATATAAATAAAATTAAAAGACGGTGGCATTAACACATTAGTTCTAAAGTCCAGTGATTGGTTTGAAGCCATGGTATAGTAGAGAGAACACTAGACAGATGTTGGAGTATCAGTTCTGCCTCTTAGCAGCAAAGTTACTCTAGGCATGTCACTTTGCCACAACTCTCCCCCTGCCCCAACTGGAAGAGGACAATACTGGATTAGATGATTCCCCAAAGCTGGTCTCTCTCAGCTTTATGATTTCATGAAGTTTAAATTTGTGGCAGATTTTTTACAAAAAAGTTTTATTAATGATACGTTCACGTTGGAAGTTTAAGAGAACACCAGATATATCTGTGGAATAGTGTGGGATTATTAAGATGTATTTGAGGACTTTGAATTTGACAGAACAAACATATTGTTAACCAAAAACACTATCATAAATCCATGACACATCGTGTTGCAACTAGATTTATTACAAGAGAAATGAACACGCATATGCAACCTAAGCAAGTGCATCGAGTTCACACTTCACACAGAAGTTTGTGTATTTATGACAGTACAACAAAGGAAGGAGGAGAAAACAAACATTTCCTAAAAACTTCCTCCTAAAGGGAAGTATCATGGGAGGGGGAAAGGTGCAGTAAAGGTGGGAAAAGGATGAAACCTCATTCCTTAATGATACATACATGTATACACACATATATATGTGTATGTATTTGTGTGTATGTATGTATATATGTACATACATAATCAGTTTCCTAGTTCAGTTGAACAATTACTGTTTTTCAACTTGAGATTTTATAAATACTTTTGTTTTGATGACTATTTTTTTCCCTAAATCCTTTTTAAATGAAAGAAATGAACATAATAACATACTTAAAGTTATATTGATGAGTCTATAAGTCATGGTTCTCAAACATTTTGGTCTTAGGACTCCTTTACATTTAAAAATTATTGAGGATTCTCCATAGAGTATTTGTTACGTGGGTTTTATCAATCAATATTTATCACGTTAGAAATTAAAACATCTTAGTAGTATTATGAAAATAATTTTGACCTCATGGACTCCCTGACAGGGACTCAGGGACTCCTGGACTACCCTTTGAGAACCACTGGTCTGCAGCACTGTAGTAGAGTTGGCCTGGCTGGCAAGGTTTAGGAAATAGTGTAATTATACAGCAGTGTGCATTGGCTAAGCAATTTATGAGTATAAAGTAGAAAACTTGACATTAAATTTTTGATTTTCATGTTGACTGGTGGCAAGTCAAGTTTTGTTTGGTTTGGTTTTTTTCTTTTTGGAGGTGATTTGGGGTTAAGTGACTTGTTTGGGGTCACACAGCTAGTATGTGTCTGAGGTCATATTTGAATTCAGGTCCTCCCAACTGCAGGGCCAGAGCTCTATCCACTGCACCACCTAACAAGGCATTTTCACCCATATCCCTACTAGGTCATTTAATTTAAAAGTTTGGATTATGCTTTATTAATGTCCATCCAAAAGACTTAACAACAAAAACCAAAAGCGCAAGTCTAAATAAAGAGTGATGTGGATGAAGTCTGGTTAACTAGAATGGTTCTGAAATAACTTGAATGCTTCTGTGAACCTGAACCATTTGATTTCCCTGAGGAATCAACAGTCAGACTTTCCTAGGCCCTGTTGTTCATACATTTCCAATCAGTTCACAGTTTAAATCAGTAAACATTCAGTAAGCGCAGTTGGGCTGATTACTGTACTAGATGCTGGTAGAAATCCTTTTGGGCATTCTACTTTTGGACAACTCTAATTGTTAGGAAGTTTTTCCTTGCATGAAGCCCAAGTTTGTCTTTTTGCAACTTCTACCATTACCTTTAGTTTTGTCCCTTTGGAACTAAATAGAACAAATGAGAACATCTTTCATGTGATAGACCTTCAGATACTTGATGGCAGTCGTGTCCCATCCTACTCCCCTTCCCCCGCAATCTTTTCTCAACTACATGTACCTTATTCAACTGGACCTACTATAGTACGAACTCGAGGACTTTCACCTACCTTTGTCTAGACAATAACTGATTAATCAATGTCCTTCTTAAAATGTGATGTGCAGAACTAAACATAGGTTTTTTTGGGCAGGGGTGGGGTGGGGGAAGCAATTGAGGTTAGGTGACTTGCCCAGGGACACACAGCTAGTATGCGTCTGAGGCTGAATTTGAACTTGGATCCTCCTGACTCTAGGGCTAATGTTCTAGCTAGCTCTTTGTACATAGTATTTCAGAAGTTGTCTGATCAGAGCAGAGAACAGTGGGATTTATGACTCTGTTCCTTGATAAAATGCCTCTCAGTATTGTCTAAGATTGGTAGCTAAGTGATGCCATAGTACACAGAGTACTGTGCCTGGAGTCAGGAAGACCTGAATTCCAATTTGGCTTCAGACACTAACTCTGTGACCCTGAGAAAGTTACTAAACCCCTCTCCATCTCAGTTTCCTCAAATGTAAAATGGGGATCATAATAGCACCCACCTTGCAGGGTTGTTGTGAGGATAACAACAATAATATTAACTAGCATATAGTGCTTTTATGTGTCAGGCACTATGCTAAGCACTTTACAGTGATCAGCGGATTTGATCTTCACACCACCTGGGAGGCACGTGCTGTCATAATTTCCATTTTACAAATGAGGAAACTGAGGCAGACAGGTTAAGTGGCTTGTACAGAGTCACACAGCTTAGTATCTGAGGGTAGATTCGAACTCTAGTCTTCTTAACACCAGACTCGGCACTGTCCACTGCACCAGGATAAATGGGAAAATATTTATAAAATGCTTAGCACAGTGCCTGGCACTTAGTAAGCACCATAATAAACATTTATTTCCAATTCTCCTTCTATATTAGCTTTCTCAGATCTCATATCACTCACATTGTCAAGCTTGCTGTACACTAGAAGAGTTTTCAGATGAGCCGCCCTCTAGCCATGCCTCCCTCATATGTGCGAATGTGATTTTTTGAATCTAAGTGTAAAACTCTATATTTATAACTATTAAATTTGGCTTGATTTTGTTATAGTACTCTAGCCTACAAAGAGCTTTTCAAACTCAGATTGCCATTCAGTCTGTTAACAATCCCTCTTAGCTCTGTGTAATTTATAAATTGGACAAGCATGCCTCCAGACCTTATCTAAGTCATTGATTAAAAGAAAAATTAAACAGAACAGCATCAAGTAGAGATTGCTGGGGCACTCTACTGCAGTTTCCAATATGACATCAAACCATGCACAGTTATCCTTTTGTTCCAATTCTTCACCCAGTTCTGAATCAGCACAGTTGTACCATTGTACGAATATTAAACTCTGGTCAGCAAATCCAAAGACAGCTCCATAGTTGAACTCAATTCACATTTATATAGTGCTTCCTAAGAACAACCTAATGAGTCAAGTAGTTCAAAGATCATACATATCCATTTTACAGATGTGGAAAACAGTTCATATGAGTTAAATGACAAGCCCTGTGGTGACCCAGTAAGTTTCAGAGCAGGATTTCATTCAGGCCTCCTGATAACCAAGTCCAGTACTTTTTCGGTTGTACCATGTTGCCTTTCAAAGCTCAACTTGAAAGAGAATCACACCACTGACCAACCACTCCAACGGTTTCTGAAACTGAACAAAATTTACTTATGAACAGAAAGAAATGCTTTCAAATTGTCTTCCCTTAGTCAGGAAAACTCCTATGTACACGGGAGGTGAGGACCTTAATTCAAATATATATTAAATGCCTAGTCTGAGCTAGGTTATGAGCAGATAGAGACGAAGGGGAGCTCCAGCAAGATGGGTGAGTGAATGGTCATGCCAAAGCCCAGCTCCCGTTAATCACCTTAAGATAGGTGCCAAATAAAGTAAATCCAAAGGGGTAAAAGGAAAGTTTTCACATGGAAAAATCTGCAGGGGAAAAAAAAAACCCATGGCAAATGAGTATACAAAAAAGGCCCAGTAATACAATAGATAGTATGGGGTAAAAGGTGAAATCTCCAGAAAAGGGGAATGATGTTATGATAACTACAAGTTGATTTCCTAACACAGATTGGGTCGACTACAAGCAACCTTAGAGCCATTGGAGAGCTTAATAGAAGTTGTTAAATGTAGACATAAGGTCAAATTAGAGCTCTTAATGAAGATTTTTTTAAAAATTGCTGGTTTAGAATGAAAAGGAATGACTGAAGTCTCCCACCTATCGGCAGAGGTGGTGGGCTATATAGATAGATATGGAATAAGTCATACATTTTTGGACATGACCAGTGTATTGATTTGTTTTTATTAGTTAAAAGGGAGAGTTCTATTGGCAGGGAGTTATTGGAGAAAGACACTGGTATTACAAAAAACAACGCACTTAAAAAGGAAGAAAAGGTGAACTGCAAAAATGAAATTATGTAACAATAAACAATACAATTAGGTCAACAGCCAGCAAAATAGAAGGAATGCTTGAGATCTCTAGGAGCAAGGGTAAGTCACCTTGAAGACAGAGTATGGTAAAATAACCTAAGAATTATCTTAAGATGTAACAAAAGTCTAAATACCATACTCCAGGAAATTGTAACAAAAAATTTCCCCAGAAATATTGGAAGTGGAGAACAAAGCACATAGAATCCATGGGGTGTTGGCAGAAGAACCCCAAATTCAGATCATTCAGAAATACAGCCATCAAGTTCCAGAGCTTTTAACATTAAACAAAGCATCTTGT